TTTATATTATGTGTATAATATAATATAATAATCATATTTTGTGTATGTATATATATACGTGTGTGTATATATGTATATAATATTATATATATATATATATATATATATATATATATATATATATATATATATATATGTATATATATATATATACACACACACACATACACATATACATATACGTCCTAAGATAATAGTAGTTTTATATACTTAATACAGGGATTCTGCTATTTGGAAAATTTAACAACCTAGAAAAATGTTTTCCCTAAGGGTGGTAGGTAGTTGGAATTTTATTGCTGAATTGTTAATTTTCCAAAAGTCTAGATCTTTTATATGACTTTTAAAAAATTTAATTATTTCTGAAAGTAATCTCTCTAAAATGTACTACTACTAAAACGCCTTCTTAACAGGGATATAGAATATAATTTAAACTTGTTTTAATGAAGCAATTGTGATTATGAGTATGAGTCGTTATATATGTGTACTTATGGATAGTATGGAACATAAAGTTCAGTGGTCCTAGAACTTGTTTTCATGAAAAAGAAATGTCAGATGGGATTTTGCTTCTTTTTCATAAAGGTGTCCTGAAGTATGTACAGCTCTATGGCCTTCTTAGTAGTAGTAACATGACTACCTCCTTGCTGAATTAATTAATGAATCAAAAGATCAAACAGCCACATCCAAAATGATTTTCTTGTCCCCAAAGGAGGAAAAAAATCACTTAACAGTCTACACTGTGCCTCTCAGTGCTCTTTGTCTTTTTAATCCTCATTCAAAATATTATCTGTTGGGGGCAGCTAAGTGGCGCAGTGGATAGAGCACCGGCCCTGGAGTCAGGAGGACCTGAGTTCAGATTTGGCCTCAGACACATAATACTTCTTAACTGTGTGACTCTGGGCAAGTCACTTAACCCCAATTGCCACACACACACACACACACACACACACACACACACACACACACACACAAAATAATGTTATCTAAACTTATCAAAACATTTGCACAAAGTATGTTCATCACATGTGAAAAAGGAACTCTCATCATTTCAAGAATTTCTGCTGTGGCATTTGGGGAAAGGCTTCCTCTAAGACCTATACATTCTTTATCAGGAAAGATGATATGTCTTGTGAAATGGTGAAAGAAAGAAAGAAGGGACGGTGGGAGAGAGAAAAGGAGAAAGGAAAAAGGAAAAGAAAGAAGGAAGGAAGGAAAGGGAAAAGGTCCAAGAATCAAATCATAAAAGCCCTCCATGGGTAAAATCCACATGAACTTAGCCAACAATACAGTGACCAAAAAAAAAAAGCTACATACAAAGGGCTGAGTCATGAGTATTTGTGGTTTATGTTGGTGATTCAGAACTGGGTCATCTTCACTAGAAATTACGTAGGGATTATCCTTTAAGAGTCTAAACTTTGTGACAAATGTAGGTTGTGCAAGGAAATGGTAGAAACTGTGCAACACGTTAATGCAGATTTTCAAATTTTAGCACCTATAAAATACCTAGCAAGAGATGACCTGGTGGCAAGAATTGTACACCAAAAGCTTACTGGGAATACAGGACTCCAAAATGTCCAGGAGAATTCCATCTATAAACTGTCATGGAAAATGACCACCGTCAAACCTGGACATGACATCTATCCATAAAAAAATTAAGAATGCGTTAACATATGATACCATACCAAATACTCTTAATCTCCAAGCTATATGGGACAAAAAAATCCTTCAAAATATAAAGATACATCAAAGGAAATCAAAATCCTGGGGGCATTGGATGAGGTCCATATACTCTCTTACTAGAGTTGTACCAATTATGCTTCTAAAGAACCTGCAAAGGATGCATTTACATCATAATACTTATATTCAATAATGAATAGCAGTTATTTTAGTGACCTGTTCAATAATAATCCATAAAATATTATGTATAAAAGGATAATATTAGGACTTATCCCAGGACAGATTCTACCTGTGCCTCCATCAAAATAGATGAGAAAAAGTAGATATTAATAAAACTTACATTTATAAAGTGCTTTAAGTTTTGCAAAGCACTTTACATACATTATCTTATTTGAGTCTTAAAACAACCCTTAGAAGGCGGTACTATTATTATTCCCATTTTATATAAAAGCAAACTCAGGCCTGTGGAGATTAAGTGATTTGCCTAGGAGCACAGTGCTAGTAAATGTCTGAAGCAGTATTCAAACACAGATTTTCAGAACTTGAGTCCACAACTTTTTCCACTGTATGGTGCAATCGATAGAATACTGGACCTAGAATCAGGAAAACCTGACTTCAAATGTGACCTCAGCTATTTGCTAGCTTTGTGACCTTATGCAAGTAACTTAACAGTTTTTTCATCTATAAAATAATAACATCTATCTCTGGTTTGTTGCAAGGGTCAAATGAGATAATAATATATGCAAAGTTTTTCACAAACTAAAATCTTAGCTATCATTATTAACTCAATGAAGACTGCTCAGTGTTCTTTTAGTGTTTTCTCACCAATCTTGAGTTTCAATTTTTCTTTTCTTTTGCATGGATTTATTTTAGTATTCTATTTTTTTGTTTTCCTTCTTAACCTAAAGACAGTTCTCCCTGGTAGAGAAAACAAATAAAATAAAAGGTTAGTAATTCATCCTCCTTCCTGTCAAACTATTATCCTGTCAGCCCCTAGCAGCCATTTGGGCCAGTCACTGGTCTTCCTCTCACCCCAACATAGATAAGAAAGCCCTTTGTGTTGTTCCTAGAAGGTTCATCACCAACCCCAGCTAAACTTAATCTTTAGCATTGCTGACACTAGTCTACTGGATCAGCAGATACTTTTGTTTTGATTTTCAATGCTCCAGCTTCCATCTTCTTTACATGTCTTTTTAGAATCTCAGTTGATCAGTTAATTCCCAATGCATGTATATTGATTTTGTAAGCAATTTCCCCTTCTCTTCCTCATCGGAATCCCTTATATGAGTCATTAGAATTATTCTTAAATTAATAATTACTCTTATAAAATTTTAGGCCCTGAAATGAATAGGGCCCCTTCTTTGCTACCAAAGAAGTTGCCATAACGTGGCTGTTGTTATTAGTCACTTCTGGGTTCATGAGCTAGTCCAGATGCCTCTGGACTCTCGGAGGTCTATGTACAGATAGGTGAAATTTTGCCTCATAGTCCCAGTTTCTTATTGACAGTGACCTTGTAAACTTTAGAGCTTCAGAAAAATGGAGATTTTTTCTTATTCCCCATGTAGCCTAGCATAGTACTTTGAATTCTATGTTTGTTGATTGATTGATCTGAAATAAATATGAAACAGTGGATTCTTTTTTTTTTTTTGGAGGACACTTTTCAAAAATAAGCTCCAACCATGCAAAAATACCTTTGGATAGATCTCTGCATAAATTATGGGAGTAATTTTAAAATTCTAGAAGCAGTGGTGGGAAAGAAACTTAGTGTCTTTCCCTAGGTAATCTATACTAATATGAAACAGAAGACTGCTTGGATTTTTAAACCAATGTAGTCATATTTATCAGTGTAATTCAAGTCAGAAAGAGATCTGTTTCCTCCCCCCTTTTTTTCCTGAATCACCACATGTTTTCTTATCTCTCCAGTTCATTTTCTGAAGCGTACAGCTAGATCCACTACCTCAATAGGTCATTGTTCTAAGGCAAACTGATGCTGTGAAGAGAACAATAGACTAGGTGTCAGGAAAGCTGATCCCCCCATCCCAGCTCCACCACTAAATAGTTTGCCCAAGTGACTTCGCTTTTTAGGGCTAAAGTGTCCTCATCTGTAAAATGAGGAAGGTACACCAGGTAATCTCCATAATCCATTCTGTTTCTAATATCCCAAAATTCTAACATACAGAAAAGAGATTTCATGACCTAGTGCATAAGACTCTGGACCTGGAGTAAGGAAGACTTAAGCTCGAATCCTACCTCAGACAATAGTAATATAACTCTGGGCCTTAGTTTCCTCATGTGTACAATGACTTTATGGTCTCTGAGGTCCCTTCCGATCCTAAATCCATGACCCTATGATCTAAATAGATTCTATCTAAAAGGAAACTTTTTTTACCTATTTAAAGAACACATGTACAATTTTATGGCTATAATAATAGTAGCTAACATTTATGTAGTGTTTACTATGTGTCAGACCCTGTGCTTGGCTCTTTACAATTATTATCTCATTGGATCTGTACAACAACAGTAGGAGGTAGATGCTATTATTATCCTCATTCTACAGATGAGGAATCTGAGGCAAACTGAGGTTAAGTGGTTTGCCCAGGTTCAAACAGCTAGCAAGTGTCTGAGGCTGGATTTGAACCCAGGGCTCTATCTATTGCACTGCTCAGCTGAAAACAAATTAGATGTCCATTACCTGGGGAATGGCTTAAAAACATTACAGTACATGAATGTAATGGAATATTATTGTGCCATAAGAAATGACAAATTGAAGTCCTTTCCCACTCTCAGATATGAAGACTTCAAAGAATTATGAGAAGATTTATATGAACTGGTGCGGTAAAGTAAATAGAACAAGGGAAACAATATGTACGATGACCACAGCACAGAACTGAGCTCTGTGTAATTATAATGACCAAGGTTGACCCTCAAGGGGAAGAGGTGAGAAAATATTCAGATGTGGGAGATGACTGCATAGGACAGAGCACACACCGCCACATTTCACAAGGTCACTGTGTTGGTTGGTTTTCATCAGGTGCTTTTTTAAATTCTGTAATTTTTGTTGGAAAAGAAGACGTACTGGATGGGGGTGGGGTGGGAGAATAAACTGAGATGTGAGTGTGGCTAAAATAAAGATATCAGTGAAAATAGGATTTTAAAAACAAAATATCTGTATATGAACACAACAAGGAAAAAGCACCAAGAGGGCCCTGCAGCAGTCACTATTACTTAGGTGAATGGTATTCCTGCATTCCCAAGTAAGTTCAATAAGATCATCATCTTTGGGAATAAAAATGAATTGGGCATAAAAGGAATATTAAAACCACAAGTATTCTATTGAGTTTTATTTATACCTGACAAGCATCTCCATAATGAATAACAGCTGTATTCTCCAACCACCATGGTCAATATTAAGACATACAGTCAGTTCCCATTTGCACAAATTTCCATCAGTGATAACTAGTTATCTTCTGGTTACAGGATAAACTTGATAATAAAAATGAGCAGTCAACTTTTTTTAAAAAAAATCATCCAGATCAAACAGTATTGCCGAAGTATCCAAGTAAAGAGGAAATTATATTTAAGTACACTTGAAACAAAAAATAATTCTTCACAAAGCATCCCTAGTTGAAGTAGCATGAAGGAAACATAATCCAGACCATATCCCATGTTAATTCAGAAGACCACTTCTAAATGTGTGTGTGTCTTGGAAATTCCTTTTGGATCTAGGTTGGAATGAGGTAGCTCCTGAAATCCCTTTGCACTCCTAAAGTCTGTGATTCTGTGACTCCTTTAAAAAAAAAGGCCATAGAACAGAAGCTTATCTTCATCAATTACATTTCCCCAAAATATATGTCAGGTACTTCTTTATATGGATATTGAACTAGGAAGTTAGTAGTTATAGTTTTAATACTGGCTTTGTCCCCAACAAACTAGATGATCCTGGGCTAGCAACTAGAACTCTCTGAGCCTCCTTTGCCCCCATTTATTAAGTTATAGAATTATAATGCCTGCTCTGCCCAACCTTAAGGGAGTGTTAGGAGGGTAAGTCAGACTAAAGAAGCATTTGTTGGGTTCCTATTATGTACCAAGCGCTATGCTAGGAAATACAGGAAGCTGTCTTCTAGACACAATCTAATAAAAAAAAAACCTCATTATTGCAAGCTCTTGGGAAGCATACACAAATAAATATAATGCACTGTGTTAAGTATACACAATATATAAGCATACACAAATAAAAATGAATATAATGCAAAATGGAAAGGACTATGAAAATTCTGAAGAGATGAAGATTACTTCCTAGTCTGGGGATCAGGCCAGCTTGATGGAGCTTCTCATTTGTTGTAGGTCCTGTAGGAATAGCAAGATTTCAGTAGGTAGGCATAGAAAATTTCATAAGATGATAGATCACTAAAGCATGGGATGTGTCTATGAAACAGGAGGCCAATAGTACAGTGAAGGGAGTCTTGGACTTTGAGTCTGGAAGACATGAGTTCAAATTGCCTTAGACTCTACCTAGTTGTAAGACCCTGAGTAAGTCACTTGAGCACTCTTAACCTCAGTTTCCTCATCTGTAAATTGGATATAGTAATACCACCTAGATTGTGAGCCTGGGTTACTAAGAGGTTGGTAGTACCCTAGACCAGTGGTGTCAAACTCAAATAGAAAAGTGATCTACTAATCCATACATAAGGATTCCGAGAGGCATCATTTTGTCTTAATTTTAAAAATATTATATTGTCCGTTTTATTGTATTTTTATTTATTTGTTAAATGTTTCCCAATTGCATTTTAATCTGGTTTGGGCCAGTGTCAGGAGTAGTGTGGGACACTTCTGTCCTAGCCGGTAATAGGGAAATTAAGAGCAAGGAAGAGATTGGGGGGTGGGGGAGTTATAGAGATAATGAGATCTGTTTTGGATATGTTGAATTAAAGATATCTATAAAATTATAATTAGAAATGTTCAGTAGGCAGTTGGAGTTGTAAGACTGGAGGTCAGGAGAGAGGTTAGCACTTGACAAATTGATCTGCATAGAAATGGTCATCAAATCCATGGGTGCTAATGAGCTCACCAAATGAAGTAGAGGGAGAAAAGAAGACTCAGGACAAAATCTGCAGTTAGCAGGTGTGATCTGGAAGAGGTTCCAGCAAAGAGACTGAGAAGAAGTAGTCAGAAAGGAGAACAGTGTCACAAAAACCAGGGGAGGAAGGAGTATCAAGAGAAGAGGATGACAGTGTCAAAGGCTGCAGAGAGCTCGAGGATAAGGACTGAGAAAAGATAATTAGATTTAGCAATTAAGACATCATTGGTAACTGGCCAGATTAGTTTCAGTTAAATTTCAGTCAATTAATTCAGTAAAATTAGTTTCAGTTAAAATGAGGTAGGAAGCCAAACTACATCCTCTTATAATCTTCTCTGTTAGGCTGTGACCTTCTTGAGAGGAGGGACTATATTTTTGCCTTTCTTTGTATCCCCGGCACTTTGTACAGCATCTGGCTCATAGTAGGTGCTTAACAAATGCTGTCGACTAACTAAAATTAATTTATTTCCCATTAATTAATTTGGAACAAAACATACTCAGTGCTCTAAAGTGTGAGGTCGGGGATCACTAGTGATTGGAAAGAAGGTAGGAGAAAAAATAAAAATCAAAAGAAAAATAACAATGTCTGTCTGTGATTCAGTGTAGAAGTTCTGGAGATGTTCTGAAGAGAAACTAGCAAAGGTTAGAGACTATTAATGAAGGGAAAACTTACACACGAAGAAGAGGAAAAGAGCAAAAGTTAGTCATGTTCAAGAAAAGAGCCAAAAAGAGTGTTTATTTAGCAGGGAAACAAAACAATAACTGGAAACTACTGTAGATGCTTTGAAACTAGATGGACTGGTAATTACTAGTACCACACTATATTTTTTTCCCTTTGAAAAATCAATTCCACATGGCCTTTCTCTGTTCTTATGGTATCTGGTCTCTTCTTAAGAAATACTGCCAGTGGGTTAATTTTGACTACGCCCTTAGCACTCTTCTGTGCGTAGTATTTGGTCTTCTCATTTCTTAACATTATATTCAGTTTTTCCAAGAGTTCTGTTCCCGGCCCCATTTCAAAACCTGTTCTGACATTTCCTAAATGTGTTCAACATTTCCTAACTCTAGACCTCTGACATATACTCATTTCTCAAATTATTGCTATACTATCATTTTACCCAACCAAGGTATATTAGATTCATTGCTGAGGCTGCTTCTTCTCTCCCTTGGGACACAGTCCATAGCTGTTATCATAGTTAACTTCTGTTTAGATGTGTGCTTTTGATGAATCCTGTTGGAAGGCCTATTCAAATGTTGTTGGTCAGAAATTCAGAAAGGTAACTTATCCCTGAAGAGATGGTCAAAGTAGGAAGTTTTCAAATAATTCTTTCAGCTGATGTGGTATGATTAAAAGGGTGCTGAAAAACTTGGCCTTTTTCAAAATTCCTCCCCTACCCCACCCCTCATTGGTGTGCCATGAAATGAAATTCCCGCAGGTTAAGAGTCTGTGATGGATTTGACTACAAAGATATCAGGGCTATTTAGAAAGGTAGTAAGATTGTCACCTGCAAATGATCTTTTTAGCCATCTGCCATTTGACCATCAGGACAGATTCCTTTATTTGGATGGGTCCCTACCATGTGCCTTTTGGAAGAGTAAGGCACGAGAAATTTCTGTTTCTGTCCCTTTGAGTAGAGTGGGGATATATTGTTAGATTGCCTCATGTCACCCAGGTTCTCTTCTATGAAAATAGAAAGCCAGAGGTTAGTTCACTTTTACCCTCAATTAATATAGTCTGTACTAAATAGATTCCAATGTTGGACTTCTTATCATTGTTCATTCCATATGGAATTTTGTTGTGAGGGAGGAACCAGCTGTCAGGCCTGAAACCCTTCTGCTTTGTTCTTCCATCCCCTACACACTCATCATAGTGACCATTCTCAGGATTTCAATGGAAAGAACTGAGGTTCTGGGGATTCCCAGCCTCAGTTGCCCATATTCCATTCTGTCTTCTGCCTCAGTTCACCAGTTCTCACCCTTTGGCACCATACCATTAAGAACTTCTGGCCTTCATGCTTTGCTCCCCTCATTCTCTGCTCTCACACCAAACCACATACCTGAAATACATCTAATTAGTGCCTGTGCCTCTTTATCTGTACTTCTACACTTACAACGCTCAGGCCAGCCCCAATGCTGCATGCACCAGAACTCTGCCTACTTCTTGACATCCCTGACTAGCCAATGAAGTATGAAATCCATAACAGCTAACATCTATGTAGCACTTACCATGTGCCAAGCACTGGCAAATATTATCTCATTTCATCCTCACAACAACCCTAGGAGGGAGGTGCTATTCTTATTCCTACCTTAAAGATGAGGTAACAGAGACAACTAGGAGTTAAATGAGTTTCTCAGGGTCTATAGCTAATAAGTGTCTGAGGCCAGATTTGAACTGAGGTCTTCCTGAATCCAGGCCCAGAACTCTATCTATTGTGCCACCTGCTCAAATAACATCACCTTCATCTCTTCTCCTTTCCAAGCCCCCAAAGGTCCCAATCTCCTGACAGTGGTATTGAGGCTATTTGTTCATTAAACACCTGTTGTGTACAGAGCACTGTGCTAGGCACTGAAGGATGTACAACTTTAAGATAACGCATTGTCTATGACCAAATGAGGCTTGGGCTGGGACCTATTGTTGGCCAATCAATGAGAGCCACAGTGATTTGGGTTTAAGGCATGGTCCTTAAGAAAGAAATCTAGCCTGTAAATCCCAAGATATCTTATGAAATTTCAGTGATCAAAATTTATATTCCTTTGGGCAGAGTACCCACAGGTAAGGGTATGATACCCTATGTAGACAGAGGGAGAGGAGGAAGGGAGAGAAGGAGGAAGGGAAGGAAAGAAGGAAAGAAAGAAGGAAGGTAAGAGCTGTGTTGCCCAAATGGAATAGGCCTTTGGGTCCCCAGTGGGATAGGTACTGCTACTCACAGGTTGTTGTTTATCCTTCGTTCTTGAAGAGGACCATGACATCAGGAAGGTAGTTAAGTGGAGGCATTGGGTCAACACATCTTTTTCAACTTTAGTGGTGAGAAAAAAAATAGAAAGAGACAAGGAAACTAAATGGGCAGAATATAAAGATTGTGAGAAGGCTTTTAAAGGAATTGTATTTGTAGGTAGATGAGGGAGAGCCAATAAAAAGGGATAGATTGAATATCCCAATGCCTTCAAACATTTCCACTTTAAAGACAGAGAAATTTGCAGCATCAGAGGAGACTTGTGATCTTGTTTATTTCAATGAAATGTGGACAAAAGGTAGGGATTCACTACTGAGGTTTCACTTTGAAATTTGAAGTTAATGTGAATTACTAATATGGGCTAATTCTATACCTTCTGAATAAGATTTAAATTTCTTCAGTTGTTCATTTATTGTGATTGAAAATATTTGCCTGGCTTAGAAGAATGGGAGATTTAGAGTGGAGATAATGGAGCCATAACTGGGGGTTTTTTTGGGCCTGGGAACTCACCACTGTCAAAAAGTCCAAAGTTTTGGGGAGACTGGTTAAGTGCAACAGAGGTCAGGTCACCAACACTCCCTATATCCTGCCTCCTGCCCCAGGACTGACTTTCCAGGATTGACCCTCCAATCTTGGCCTCCTGTTCATTTCAGCTTCAAAACAATCTGGCCTTCGGTTTATACATATTTGGACCTTGATTTAGACACTGTACCTGTGGCTCTTCCAGCCTGGTGATTGCTCTTATTTGTTCAGCCCCTTTCAAGGAATAACACACTAGCAGACTGTGAGCTCTATGAGGGCTTTCTCTCCCCAAAAACCTAATGCAGTATTCAACACACTATAAATGCTTAACAAATGTTTGTGCATTCAAATTTTTAATTGAACTGAAAAAAATTTCCTCTACTCCTCTTATAGTTTATATTTAAATTATATATTATAAATTATATTACATTATATAATATTTATCATATCATATTATATTTAAATATGTTATAGCTTAAATTTTAAGCCTTACTGTGGTTTAAGGATGAGCCATAACTGTTTGGTAGCTATTGTTTGATTATGTAGCATTTGATCTTGCCAAGACAGGATACTTTGGTTGAACTTTTTAAAAATTCAGCCAATGCAATTCTTCCTCTGGTGATTACTTGGTGTCTGTATGCCTGTGTCATCATCGGAATTGGAATGTCTTGCAAGATTTTCAAGAGCAGGGACTACGTCACTTTTCCTGTTGTTCCCTCACAGTGGTCTCAGATTGCAGATTCAAATAACAGAGCCTGTTAAAGGCAATATACACATACACAGGTGATCAAAGTTACCTCTATTTTTAGTACTGTGATGTCTAGGTTCAAGGGCATTCATGTTTGCCTGTTGTATTGAATTTGGGGCCCATTAACTAGAAATCCCAGGTCCTAAACATATTGATGAATAGGAGGGAGCTTTAGGCACAGAGCCACCAAATTCAGTCCTCAAACGTAAGATATTTGTCTATGGACCATCTCTTTAAAGATGAAGATCTTAGAGCTTAGATATCTCTTTGAATGAGATAAGAGCTACAATTGACCAGAGCCATGCAAACCGTGCAAATAGAAATAGTCACGGATCTCCAAACTGCTTATCATTGCAAAAGTCTATCCCTTTAACAACAAAAATTTCCTGGTGATGCTATATGCCTGTGAAAACCTTATAGTAACTTTTTTAAAAGAAGTTATATAACTTCCTTGGGAAGAGGAATGTATTATAATACATTTATGCATGTAGCTGCTTAGATGCTGAATATATGTAAATATTAAGACCATTTTCAGCCTTTGATGGAAGGATTTTGGTATATTCCAGGAGGATGTAACATTCTAAGGGTGGAATTCAATTGCCTTTGAATATTTCCATAGTGTCCTTAGAGCACATTATTCAGACAAAGAGGAAGTCAGCTTTATCTTTGAAATATTTTATTAGAATTTCAAAAAGTTTCCAAGTGATTGAAAATTACAAAACTAACATTGGATTGGTCTAACACTGATCAGACTTCATCTATTCCTAAACTAGGTTATTTTCTAGTTAGTGTATATGTGTGCTGTGTGTGTGTGCAGTGTGGATTTAAAAAACTGATTAAAAAAACACCTTTACTTAAGAGATGAAAGTGGCAAACAGGGATGTACCATCTTAGAATGGCAAATCCATTGTTTTACTGCATGAAGTTATAAAAACCTTAAAACGTGAAAGATGTTTCTAAATCTTTCACCAAAGATCTTTACTCAAGCCAAGCTCCAATTCAGGTAGGGAAATCTGCCTATGTAAGACTCCCAAATTAAATAGAAGGTAGATCATTAGTGCATTATTTTGAAGGATATGCCACATTTGTATTCGAGTACTAGTTTTCTAAGCGCTGAAGTAAAGAAAATGTCTCCAATCCTCTCTCTTTCAGATGTTTTATCCCAAATGTCTATGCAGCTCTCTTCACTGCTGCTCTCATTCCCTTGATGTGTCTTGTGGTGGTATTTGTGGTCTTCATCCATGCCTACCAAGTGAAGCCTCAGTGGAAAGCTTATGATGATGTCTTCAGAGGACGAACAAATGCTGCAGGTATGAGATGATAAAATTGGGGCAATTCTTAAAAATCAGAAAGAATGCTAGAACACATTGTTGACCCATTTTCATTATAACAGGAACTGTAATATTACCCATTAGTCCTATTATCTAGCTCAGGCACTAAACATTAAAGTGAATGATAGGCTGAAATCATAGGCCAAGAAACAGGTTTCTGATTTTCCTTCCTCCTCAAAGTTGCAGGAGTCCCTTCTTAATTCCCTAAGCTTGCAAGTAGGTGAGATGTCAGAATAGCTGTTTGTTCAGGCAGTGGATATAGTGTGCCAAGTTTCAGATTTTCAAGGATGCGATACTCAGTCCTGAGGAGACCCCCTCACTAGTTATTTAGAGGCCTCTGCCATATGGGCAGGTCCTGGCCTTTGATCAGTACAGCAGAACAGCCAGCCAGAGGATGCTGTGTCTACCATATCTGTGTCTCAGAAGATAACATTTGAGACTTCCTAACTCCTTTCTCTCTGGACTTTCTATGGAAGTACTTCCTTGGCATTTCCATTGCAAGTAGGTTTCTTTTGGTTTCTTGCTGGTTTCTTTTCCATAGTGTTCTTAGACTATATCATTCAGACAATGTTTCAGGTATCAATGGTTAAGTAAACTGCCAAAGAATGGATGCTTAAGGAATGGGTGTTATATATTGGAGCTCCTTATAGTCAAACACAGCAACTCTTCCATGATTTGTGAAATATCTTCATTCCTCTCAGGTTTCAAAATCTTCTTTAGAGTCAGATATACTCCCAAAATGTCCTTGAGTGGTATCTTTTGCATTTGGAGAGCTGATTTTGCTGACAGATGTGCAAAAACATATGTAATCAGACAGTTTCATAAGTGACCACACATGTCTGGATGCTTAAGAACTCAAGTTTTTCCAGCCTAAATTGGCATTCATTTCAGTTCATTTTTTCCTTGCTGAATCATACTTAGCACAGGTTTTTTATGATCTGATTCATTTTTGGTTAGATTAGACTCCCTTTGGATGCTCTCAGCCAGGCACAGCAATAACAGCATACACCTACACACTTAAAAATAGCTCAGAGAAGGGTAGGGCAGTGGTTGGCTGGACAGGCAGGGAAAATCTTTAGACTCTTGATGTGAATGCCCAAAGGACAGTGGGGAAGGATGTCAGAAATTTCAAGCACTCCATCATTCCAATTATTTTGTACTTGTAAAGATCGTGGAATGTACTTATTTTTCTATATTCTCTCTCTCACATATGTATGTGTGTATTGTTTCAGCATATAGAATGCAACTTCCTTGAGGACAAGGATTTTTTATTTTTATTTTTTATGTATCCAGTGCCTAGAAAGGTGTTTGACACATAGTGGGCACTTTATAAATGCTTGTTTATTGTGGCAGATAGAGCATGAAAGGAGAAGGGACATGTAAGGATCAGAGGAAGGAGCTGGGTGTTTTTAGCCTGTAGAAAAAAAGGCTTGGGGGGACGTGATAGCTGTCTTAACGTATTTGAAGAGCTGTCATATGGAAGAGAGATGAGACATGTTCTGTTTGGTCCCAGAGGACGGGAGCAGGAGCAAAGGATGGAAGCTGCAAGGAAGCCAATTTAGATGTCAGAGAAAATGTCCTCACGTTGAGAGCTGTCCATCAGCACAAAGTCCTGCCTCTCCAGGTGCCGAGCTGCCCCCACCAAGAGGTCTTCAGGCATGGATTGGATGGCCACTTGTCACGGGGATTTTAGTGGCAACTCCTTTCATGTATGGATTGAATTAGATGGCCTTCCAGCTCCCAAATTCTTTGATTCTTTGGAAGGTATACTTCACTATCTTCCTTTACTAATCTTTTGACTGAGAGCCAGCCTTAGAACCCAGAAAGGACAGAGAAAAAAACAGAGGAATAAGTTCCCCCTAACAAAGAGAGGAAAGATAGGTTATTTGGGGACCCTTAAAATTTTGTTCTTCATGGCCGTCTCTTTTATTTTATTTTATTTTGGGAGGCAGTCGGGTTTAAGTGACTTGCCCAGGGTCACACAGCTAGTAAGTGTCAAGTGTCTGAGGCCGAATTTGAACTCAGGTCCTCCTGATTCCAGGGCTGGTGCTCTATGGCCCCATGGCCATCTGTTAAAGGAGGTTCCAATGGCATTCTGATTGATTTTTAAAACTCAAAAGACCAGAACTGTCTCATGCCTTTCTTTGTATCCTCAGAGCTTAGCACTGTGCCTGGCACATAGTAGGCATTTAATAAATGTTTATTGACTAATTAAGTGACTTCATGTGGGTAGAAAATAGGATACACCTTAAGAAAGGGCTTTTTGGGGTTATGGGATAATTTTTACAAATAAGATAGAAACAGAGTGGCCTAGTGAAAAGAGCACTGTCCTTAAAATCAGAATTTGCAATGAATTAAGATTAAGCAAACATTTATTAAATACCAATAGATTAGACAGCTAATCTAGTAGCAATAAATATCAATATTCTAGACAACTCATCTAGGGGCAGCTAGGTGGCTCA